CAAGAATACGTCGTAATCGTAAACGTAATATGGTCAAACGTTCATATCGTGATCGACATATCATTTATCGAAACGTCTATCATCGATTTACATTAAAGCAAATTAAAAATATTCTTCGTGATCGTGATGTTCGATATGTTCATCCAAAACTCGATAAATCTTCACGAATTTTATCAATTGGAATGAAAAAATCATCTTTAGTGGACTTATATTTTGATCGAATACCCGGTGATTTATTTGATAAATTTCATTATCAACAATATCGTCGACAAGAACATTAACAAAAAAAAAAAAAATTTTTTTCTTATTTTTGTTATTATGTTGTTTGTTTTTTTTTCTTTTAGTTAAAGTTTTTTTTGTTTGTTATTGTCTTTTTTTTCTCTCATGTGTTCGTGTTGAAACATCATTATTATCACAAGTTTTACATGATGATATTATTATCAGATTTATATATAACAAATCGATTAACAACAACACTTTTATATATATATCAAATGATGCAACTATTTCAAACAAATTATCATTTATCATCAATTATTTATATGCAATATGAAATTACATTAGATTCATCTTATACTTATATGTATGTATTACAAGAACGTTGTTTTTTAATTGTTGATTATCAAGATGGATCAAAATATATATATAATTTTCAAACTGGAGAAATATTAAAACAATTAACATTAACATCATCATCATTACCTATTTTATCATTATCATTACGTTCTGATGGTCCTTTTCTTGCATATATATATCTTCAAGAACAGTTATAGTAGTTGATATTATAACAGGTACAGATGTATTTACAAAAACAATATTTACAACAGATATGTTTATTTCGATATTTATTTTTCTTTTTCTTTTTTTCTTGAGAGTTACTCTTTTCATTTGTTATTTGATCCTTTTTTTTTCTGAAAGTTTTTCTCTCAGTGTTCAAAAAACTTATTTGGGGGGTAAGGGTGTTAGGACCTGACCCCTATTGTTATTCTATTGTTGTTATAGATTTGTCCACTCATTATATACACGTCCTCCTTTTCTATTTTTTTTCTTTTTTTCTGTTGTTGTTTTCTTTTTTTTTCATTCATTATTAGAATAAACATTCGGTCAGATATGTGCACGTGAAACGAACTCACTGACCTTAATATCTTCTCTCTTTATTTGTGGGTGCAATATCTTACAGCTAGAATGAGCTAAAATTTTGAATTTATAAGTTTCTCACTTTGCT